TTTAATACTTTAAAACTTTATAGAATTTTTTATATATACCTTGCCCATTAGTCGGTACCACTCAGACCCTGGCAAATTGTTAAGTATTTAGTGAATATTTATAGAACGAGTGAACAAAAGTCCATCCTCTTTCTATAATGATTTTGCTAATGATTTAGGACCACAGTCTAGAAAACTTCGAAAGCAAGTGGCTTGCCTCCGGTATTTCAGAGAGAGAATTCAGGTGACTGAAAGTGTGTATAAAGAGCTACAAAATTTTCTTGGGCCGTTTCACCTTACCCCTGGGCAGCAAGAATCTCCCTCACTGTGAGGTACTGTGCTTCTGGGGCCTCTGCTCAGTTCTGCTTTGCAAAAGGAAGATTATGAGAGGGGTTGTTGGGGAACAGGACATTGAACCTGAAAATAGTGAAGCAATTGCAGCAAAGTGGCTTCTATCCCATCAGTATCTCTCACCACCCTGAATCTGAGTCTAGAAGACAGCCTGGCCCACCAGAAGTGTCCCTCTCCTAGCTTTGCCAAATGTGCCTGTACTTCAGAGAGACTTTGTGTGATAGGACAAATGATAGGACAATGACAAAAGAAGGGCCAAGTCACCTCATCTTGTTTTCCTTTCTTTTCCTCCTGATGTCCCCTCTCCCTTTCAGGAAGCTGGCTTCCTTCTTAGCTAATGTTATGCCAGTCAGTTATATCTTGTCAACAAGGTTTGCTACAGGGTTTTTCAAACTGCAGATTTTCATCCATATGTGGGTGACAGTGTCCCTACTGAATATGGGGGCCTTGGAAACGAGTAGCTTACAGCAACAAGGAGAATGGGTGCTAAAGACAGTAGTTATGTTCAGAATAATAATAATGGTGGTGATGATGATGATGGTGGTAATTACAGCAGCTGACATTTACTGAGTGTTTAATATGTGCACAGACTGCTCTAAATGCTTTGCATGTATTAATTCATTTAATCCTCAGGATAACCCTATGAGCCAATGTTGTTGTGTCTTAGTTTGTTCAGGTTGCTATAGCAAAAATACTATAAAGTGGGTGGCTTATAAAAAATAGAAATTTATTTCTCACAGTTTTGGAGGCTGTGAAGTCCAAGATCAAGGCACCTGCAGATTGAGTGTCTGGTGATGGCCTGCTTTCTGGTTCATAGACAGTGCCTTCTAGCTGTGTCCTCACATGGTGAAAGAGGCAAGGGAGCTCTCTGGGGACTCTTTTATAAGGGTACTAATCTCATCCCAAATGGGATGACCTAATCACCTCCCAAAGGTCTCATCTAATACCATCATATTGATAATCAAATTTCAACATATGAATTTTGGGGGGACATAACCATTTAGTCCATGGCATGTAGTTCAAGGCCAAAGCCCATCTGCTGGAGAATTCCTTCAACCGATTGGATGAGGCTCACCCACATTATGGAGGGGAATCTGTTTTACTCAAAGTCTGCCCACTTAAACATTATTCTCATCCAAAAACACCCTCACAGTAACATCCATGATAATGTTTGATCACACAGCTGGGCACCATGGCTAAATTAACCATCACAGGTAGCTACTATTAATATCTACATTTTACAGACAAGGAAACTGATATGCAGAGGTCAAATAGTTTGTGCAAGGTTACACAGTTACTAAGTGGCAGTGTCAACATTATTGCCAGAGCAGTCTGGCTCCAGAATCTACTCTCTCAGGGCTGCATGTGAGCCTTAGCAGAGTGTGAGGAGGCAGAAAGATTTCAGGGAGAAAGATATTCAAAGCCCAAAGTGCTGGTCATCATACATTTATAGCACTAAATGTCTAATTAGAGAAGAGGAAAGGTCTCAAATTAATGACTCCAGCTTCCACCTTAAGAAACTAGAAAATGAAGAGCAAATTAAATTCAAAGTAAGCAAAAGAAAAAGAAATAATAAATATTGAATGTAAGGCAAGTGATATAGAAAGCAGAAAAACAATAGAGAAAAATCAGTGCCATCAAAGCTTATACTTAGGGAAGATCAATGAAATTGATAAACCATTTTGGTGCAATTGCTTCACCATTTTCATGTTCAACAGAAAAAAAGGCTGAACAGAAAAAAGGAGAGAGGACACAATATGAAAATGAAAAAAATGGCATAATTACATATTCTACATATATTAAAAGGACAATAAATATTTTGAGGAACTTTATTTCTATAAATTCAACAAATCTGATGAAATGGACAAATTCCTTAAATATACAAACTACCAAACTTACTCGAAGATGGATTGATAACTTGAATACATTTATTAAAGAAACTGAATTTGTAGTTAAAAACCTTTCCACAAAGAAAACTCCAGATACAGCTGGGTTCACTGGTGAACTACCAGACATTTAAGGAAGAAATGAAACCAATCCTGTGAAGCTCTTCCAGAATATTAAAGAGGAAGGAATATTTTCCAACTCATTCTATGAGGCCAACTTTACCCTGTTACCAAAAGTGGACAAAAACATTATAAGAAACTACAGACCAATGTCTATCATGAATATAGATATAAAAATTCTGAGCAAAATTTATCAAATTGAATGTAACAAACAATACATAAAAAGGATTATGACCAATCTAACCTCTCATGTGTTCTTTTTTTAAAGCTCTCAGAGCCACGCCCCTGACCACCATTATTAATCCATTCATTCTGGCACGGTCCTACAATCTAATCACCTCTTCAAGGCCCCACCTTTCAACTACCATAATAGGATTTCCCAACCTCAGCATTTACAGTGGGAATTAAGCTTCTAGTATATGAACTTTGAGGGACACAATTCAATCAATTCACAACAGGAACTTCCTCAAGATTGATAAATAACATCTATTAAAAAAACCTACGGGCCGGCCTGTGGCTCACTCGGGAGAGTGTGGTGCTGATAACACCAAGGCCACGGGTTCGGATCCTATATAGGGATGGCCGGTTTGCTCACTGGGTGAGCGTGGTGCTGACAACACCAAGTCAAGGGTTAAGATCCCCTTACCGGTCATCTTTTTTAAAAAAAAAAGATCTGGTGAAAAGGTACTTTACCAAAGAAAATATTTAGTACATGGAAATATAAGCATACAAAAGTCTATGATCCATTTTGATTTTTTTTATGTGGTATGAGGTATGGGTCCGAGTTTGTTTTGTTTTGTTTTGCATATGGATATCTGAATTATTAGTCATGAGGGAAATATAAATTAAAACCAAAATGGGAAACCATTACCCACCTATCAGAATGGCTAGAATTAAAAAGACAGACTACAGCGAGTGTTGGAGAGGACGTGGAGGAACTGGAGCTCTCATACACTGCTGTTGGAAAAGCAAAATTGTACAACTACTTACGAAAACAGTTTGTTGATTTCTTAAAAAGTTAAGCATACACCTACCATATGCTCCAGCCATTTTTCTTCTTGGTCTGTACTCAATAAGAAATGGAAGCATATTGCTATGGGCTAAATGTGTCTCCCAAAAGTTTATGTATTGGAAACTTGATCTCCATTATAATGGTGTTAAGAGGATGGAAATCCAATCATGGTATTTGAAAGGTGGGGCCTTTAAGAAATGATTAGCTTGTGAGCACTGTGCCCTGGTGAATAGATCAATCCTTTAATGGAGCAATGGGCATGCTTCTGACGGCTTTTAAAAGGAGATCACATGAGAAGCTTAGCTCCCACTCTTGCCATGTGGTATCTTGTGTTGCTATAGAGTCATCACCGAGATCAAGGCCCTCACCAGAAGTGTTCCCTGGACTTCAGACCTCCCAGCCTCCGGAAATGTAAAAAGTAAACTTTGTTCCTTTATAAATTACTCAATATCAAGTATTCTGTTATAAGCAGCAGAAACAGACTAATATACATATGTTCACAAAGACTTGTATGCAAGTCTTTCTCCCGTATACTTTGCTGGTCATAGCAGCTTCATTTCTATTAGCCAGCAACTGGAAACAACCCAAGTGTCCACCAACAAGTGAATGGAGAAACCATTTGTGGCATAAACATACTCAGCAATAAAAAGGAGTGAACTACTGATATACGCAACCATGTGGATGAATCTCAAAATAACTACTGCATGAAATAAGCCAGACCCCAAATAGTACATACTATACATTCCATTTATATAACATTGTAGAAAAGGCAAATTAATCTATAGTGGCAGAAAGCAGGTCAGCAATTACTCAGGGAATAAGGCAGCGTAGGAGGAAGTGATTAAAAAGAAGCACACAGAAACTTTTGAGGGTGCTGGATATGTTCATTATCTTCATTGTGGTAATGGTTTCACCGGTATACACATATGTCAAACCGCATCAAATTGTATACTTTAAATACGTGCATTTATTTTAAGTCAAATATACGTCCATAAAATTGAAAATGAGTGTATCATGACTCACGCTATACATACAACCTTAATCCTTCAGAATTCAGTCTTGCACTAATATTTAGTTTAACAAAAATCAACCTACAATCAAACAATCTAAAAATGTATAGATTAAAAAATGTCGATTTCAATTTTCCTCTTTCCCAGTTAGCACCACAGCACAACGGCATAGCTGTCTGCGTGTGGCTCTATTTCTAGTATCAAAGGACGCCTGGCACAAGGACACTTAGTGCTTTTCACTTCACTTTCTGGAGGATGATCTCACATAACAGCACGCAAATGCTCCGTGTGCGAATCTCCACCTCTCCTAAATGGTGGTAAACGCGTGAAATTTCCTGTGTGTGGGAAAGGACAAATGACGCAATAATTCGGAGCCAAGACCGAGACTCTGCAGGGGAAAACCAACTACAGGGAGTGTGATGAGGCGCTAGAAGCCGGGGATGGGAAAGGTGTAGGAATTTTAAAAAAAAAAAAAAAAAGAGAGGAGAGAGAGAGAGAGAGAGAGAGAGAGAGAGAGAGAGAGAGAGAGAGAGATGGGCTGGCTCCCTCCCGGTGTCCCAACTGCCCCGGGTCACGTGCCTGTGCCGGCGCCGGCTGTGCCCCAGCTTTGGTGTCCGGCGCAGCCCCCAGCCCCTGCACTTCCGGTCCGACCCGCCCGCCGTCCGCGCGGGCCCCTGAACCCACTTCCGCCGCCACCCAGCGCCTATGCACTTCTCGGTACATTTTTTCCCCGGGTCGCGTCCCCGGGGGGATGGGGGGACTGGGGTCTGCAGTTCCTCTCCTCATATTGGTGGAAAGGGCGCGGGGGGACCCTCCGGTGTCGGCCTTCCGCTTGTTCAGCAAGAGCTGCCTTTAATGTCTGTAGGTCCAGCGTCCCACACTCATGAGCGAGGGAGGGCTGGGCTTGTCCTCTCCTTCGTATCGTAGATGAGGAAGCCGAGGCTCGGGGACGGAAGAGAACTCAGGCGACACCCCACCGTCCCGCTCTGCTGCTGTGTGGCTTGTTCCCAGCGCTGAGTGGAGCGCCCCAGGCCCGACGCGGGTTAGTTGCGAGCTGGGCACCTTCTGACCCTGCCCCTTCCCTCCCCGCGCAGCCGGCCGACCATGCCCGCGGGCGTGCCCTTATCCACCTACCTGAAAGTGTTCGCGGCCAGCCTCCTGGCCATGTTCGCAGGCGCCGAGGCGGTGCATAGGTACTACCGGCCCGACCTGGTGAGTGCAGGGTGTGGCGGGGGAGGGGTGCCCGTTTCTCGCTCCAGGACCACTGCATGCTCCGCACAGCAGAAGGAAATTAGGATCACGTCGGCCCTGGGCCTAAAATCTTTTGATGGCATTCCCTTGGGTCTAGAGCAGTGCATGGCCTATGAGGTTTTACACGATCGCCGCTACCCCCCACTGGCCCATCTCCTACCACTCCCTTGTTCCCACTGTTGCAGCCACACCGGCTTCCTTGCTGTTTCTCAAACTCTTCAAACCTATCCCCGCCTCGAGGCCATTCTTTCCCTTCTCTTTAGCATACTTTTCTACCACATCCTGGCTTGGTTTCCTTCTTCATAACTTTAAGTCTTTGCTCAAGTATCCCTTCCAGCAAAGAGGGCCCTTTGGCCAGCTCCCAAAGGATTCCTCCTCTCCTATTTGGTTTCAGTCCTTTGTTTCCATAGAGCACTTGTAGTTCGCGATTTAAAAAAAAAAACAAAAAACTGCAATTATTTTTATTTCTTTGTTTACTTATTCTTTGTCGTTTTGCTCCACTAGAATGTAAGCTCCAGGAATGCACTGTGTCTGGTTCACTCTTGTACTTCAATCCCTTGGAAAAGAGATTGGAATGCAGTAGATGCCCAATAAATATTTGTTGAATGAAGAATGCGTGAATATAGGTATTCAAAGGAAGGAGAAATTTAAGTTAATTTTAATAAACATTCATTGAATTAGGAACTGGGAATTAAAGATGCTTTTCAGGAATTGCTGCCTTGGGGAGGTGGAAGTGAGAAGGTATGGTGCAAAGGATTATGATTGTGCTGTTCTACTACAGGTGTGAGTAGAGTGGTTTGGAACACAGTGCAGGAAGCAGTCATTTCTGCTTGGACTCTGCCTGGACAGGTAACACTTGCAGAGAGCCAACCATTTGTGTTTCTAATTTCGGTGAATTGTCACTACAATTTTAGAGGTGTTTTCAGATGAAGCAACTGAGGTTTGGAAGAGTGAAGATGGTTTTCCAAAGTCACATGGCTTAATGAGGCATTGTCTTAAGGATCTGAAGGAAAATCTTCTCACTTACAATACCCTTTCTTCAGTCTACTCCCCATACATAATTACCAGCTATTGGTTGGTGTATATCCTTCCAGACTCTTTACTGTTGTTGACTGCATGTGTGTGAAACACACACACACGGTTTGTGGAATGTTTTTCCCCATGTAAATAGGAGTAAATATACATTTGTCTGCAACTTGCTTGTTTTAGTTAAGATCTACATGAATAGACATTTGTTTATATTAATAGTCTTTCTTCTTTCTAACCATTGCATAGTATTTCATATTTTATTTAATCAGTCCTCTGTTGACATTTAGGTGGTATCTAGTTTTTGTACAGATAAGGCAGCATCAGTTCTTTCTTACCACTTCAGTCTGCTTATCTTTTAAGGGTTCTTGTGAAGGATCAAGGATACCTAGTGGAGATAGAAAGCGGCAAGAACTTTCCGCAGAAATGCAGTTTAGGCTCTAGCTTGTGCAGGAATAGACATCAGTCGGGCCTTACAAAAGAAGGAATGTGTGGGATTTGACCCTGATAATTAACCTTTTGATTCACTCATCTCATTATAATTGGGAGTGTGTAAGGGTTGTTACCAGCAGCTACCTATACCTGGAGAGGAGGCAGCGTGAAGTCTCTACTAGGGGCCATACTGAAGGATCTCAGACCACCTCAGTCTGGGTGGTGACATTGGCAGTGGGGCACTGCTGTAGGGATGGGTGAAGGCCAGGATGACTGGCTGTGTGTAGGATGCTGCGTGCTTTATTAACATTTGGGGAATTTATGTTCTTTACCTATATCTTTTGGTATTGTTGCAGCAATTACTGTCACTATAGCAGCAACCACCAACCACTTTTTTTGTAAGAAAGCCTGAGCACGGGCCGGCCCGGTGGCGCACTGCTACAGTGCGCCGCTTGAGAGTGTGGCGGCGCTCCCGCTGAGGGTTCGGATCCCATATACAGACCGGTTCCCGCTCACTGGCTGAGCGAGGTGCGGGCGCAACACCGAGGATTGCGATCCCGTTGCCGGTCCCGGTCCGGTACGGGCGCGACACTGAGGGTTGCGATCCGTTGCCGGACATGAAAAAAAAAAAAAAAAAGAAAGCCTGAGCACAAGTCATTCAGTCTTGACAGCTAAAAAGTCTGGGTAGAGTTCAGAGCAGAGGAGCCATGATGGCTCCCTAGGGCTTGTGCTCTGTGTTGTCTTAAGGAAGAACTGTGAAGGGTGCTTCGTTCTAGTTGTTCAGCTCAACTCATTAGAATAGAAAAAGAGGCAACTACTCTAGTTGTTCAGGCTGAAACCTGGTAATCATCCTTAGTTTCTCTTTCATATTGCACATATCAGCAAATCCCACTGGATTAATCTGGAAAGTACATCCAGATGCTGACCACTTCTCACTGTCTCCATTGCAGCTACCCAGTTCAAGCCACTTTCAGTCAGTCATCTCTCACCTCAATTACAGCAGTAGCTTTCTATTTTTTTTTTTTTTCTTTCCCTTTTTGTCTTTTTCCGTGACCAGCAACGGATCGCAACCCTCAGTGTCGCGCCCGTACTGGACCGGGACCGGCAACGGGATCGCAACCCTCGGTGTTGCTCCCGCACCTCGCTCAGCCAGTGAGCGGGAACCGGTCTGTATGTGGGATCTGAACCCTCGGCGGGAGCGCCACTGCGCTCCCAAGCGGTGCACTGTAGCAGTGCGCCACCAGGCCGGCCCCAGCAGTAGCTTTCTGACCTGTCTTCCGCCTTCCACTTTTGCCCCCCTACAGTCTCTTCTCAACAAAGCTACGCTGTCATCTTTTTACACTTAAGTCATGTCACTCTTCTCAAAACTCTCCCATTTCAGAGTAAAAGCGACTAGAGCTTTGTCTCCCCACATCTCCCTTTTCCTCTGACATTGTCTCCTCTTAACCTCTCCTTGAATACTTTGTACCAGCTGTACTGACAACCTTGCTTTTCCTCGGACATGAAGACACATTGCTGCCTCAGGTCCTCTGCACTTGTGGTTCCATCAACCTGAAACACTCCTAGAAAACTGTGTGGCTGGCTCCCTTCTCCCTCATGCCTTTGTTCAGAAGTCCGCTTCTCAGCCAATAAGCACATGAAAAGATGTTCAGTGTCATTAGCCATCAGAGAAATGCAGATCAAAATCACAGTGAGATACCCCTTTATACCCACTATCATGGCAATAATAAAAGAGATAATAACAAGTATTGTCAAGGATGTGGACATATTGGAACATGGATGAGCCCTGAAAACATGCTATGTGAAAGCAGCCATTCATGAAGGACCATGTATTATATGATTCCATTAATATGAAATGTCCAAAATAGATAAGTCTGTCTTGACAAAAAGAAGACTAATAGTTGCCTAGGGGTGGTGGAGAGGATTGTATGGAAATGAGGTGACTCCTAACGGGTGTGGGGTATGATGATTTTGGGGGTGATGAGAATGTTCTGAAATTTATTGTGATGGCACACAACTCTGAGAATATACTAAAAGCCATTGAATTGTACATTTTAAGTGGGCAAATGGTATACTATGTAAATTATATCTTGATAATGCTATTACAAAAAAAAAAATCACCTTCTCATGCCTTTCCTGACCACCTTCCTTAAAGGCAGGAATTTTGTATATTGTTGCTTACTTCTTCATGCTTTGCATGTAATAGGCACTTACTATTTTTGAATAAAGGAATTAATTCCTAAAACATATTTCCTATGCCAGGCACATGTTGAGAGTCAGTAAATAATAAATAGTGCAGTAATGAATTTCCAAATGTGGAAACTTTTATTCAAATTTGTGAGTCTGTCAATTGATATTGATGCAAACTCTCCCTCTGTGAGTCCTGTAGTACTTAAGACATTGCCACGAAGACAGAATCAAATAAATAGAGGGTTGAAAGGGACTTAGGTCAAGCAGAGGTTCTCATTGAGTAGGAAGCAGGGGACTTTTTGTTCTTTTTTACTCTTTAAAGTTTTTCAGGTCATGTTAACTTACAGTCCAAGAAAGCACTGACATTATGTTTTTGTTTTGTTGTTTGTAGACAATACCTGAAATTCCACCAAAGCCTGGAGAACTCAGAACAGAGCTTTTGGGGCTGAAAGAGAGAAAACAGGAACCTCCAGTTTCTCCGCAGTAGAAACTTCATAATATAACTATGCCGAGAATTCTGTGAATAATATTATGTCTTAAATATGTGCTTTTTAAATTTATTGAGTCTAACTACTTGCTTCTCCTTAAGCACCTAATCCAATATAACTACAAGAGGAGCTGCTCATTGGATATTAACTGATACATTGAAGTTTAATTATGGTTTGACCAACAATTCTCTTGAAAACTGCCAAAATGCATATCATCAGCTCCTTGAATGTGGTTGGGAAGATATTTAGTCTTGACTGTTATGTGAGATAAGAGTATTTGCACTATCCTCTGCTGTTATAATTCTGGTTTACTTCTATGAATATGCCTGACTATAATAGCAAGTGGGAATTATAAATTAAGTATAATAAAAGTGATATTGACAATACTTATGGTGTTAAGTTAATATTTGTCTAAACATTGGAAAGTACTATTTGTACTAAACTGTATTAAGTTAAAATATTTAAAGTTTGAAATTCTTTTGGAATTGTGTACATAACAAAATTATAATATTTGTGACTTGGTCTGTCACAAGTTCCTTATCCCCAAATTTGAGAAACCCTCCAAATTTAAGAAACCAAAGTAAAATTGGCATTTAATTTTTCTTATAAAACATATTTAAAAATAACTAAAGAACTTAAATGAATATTGTATGGGTAGAATTGTGTTCCCTAAAAAGATGTTGAAGTCCTAACTGTTAACTGTATTAACAGTACCTGTGAATATGACTTTATTTGAAAGTAGGGTCTTTGCAAATGTAACCAAGTTCAGATGAGGTCCTTAGGGTCGGCCCCAATCAATATGACTGTTGTCTTTATAAGAAGAAAATGTCATGTAAAGACACAGACACAGAGGGAGAATATATGTGACAACAAAGGCATTGATTGGAGTGAAGCAGCTGCCAGCCAAGGAACACCAAGGACTGAGGGCCAACACCAGAAGCTAGGAAAAGGTGAGGAAGGATTCTACCCATAGCCTCAGAACATGGCCCTGCTGATACCCGGTCAAATTTGTAGCCTCCAGAACTATGAGAGAATAAATTTCCGTTGTTTTAAGCCACCTGGTTAGTGGTACTTTGTTATGGTAGCCCTAGGAAACAAATACAAACATTTCAACCCTTTTCTGAGTCTATAGATACAGGTCAAAAGTAATCTATAGAGCAGTTCACTTTCTGTTTGGGGCTTTTTCCCACAAGAAATTTTTCAGAATTCTGCATTCTTTTTCTTTTTTTTTTTGTCCTTTTTGAGACCAGCCACACCGTGCCAGTCATTCTTATATAGGATCTGAACCCGCGGCATGAGCGCTGCTGCGCTCCCAGCACCGCACTCTCCCAAGTGTGCCACGGGCTCGGCCCAGAATTCTGCATTCTTAAAGGTGATGTCTAGGCTTACTTCTTAGCCAGTTAGCAAGTTGCTACATCACATGGATCTTTGTGGTCAATGTTAAATCTTAAATATCAAATCAAATGCAAGCCAAACTCTTTTGTTTTACTCTCTGTTTTAGTATGTTTTGTGTTGCTATAACAGAATACCTGAGACTGGGCCGGCCCGGTGGCACACTGCTACAGTGAGCCGCTTGGGAGCGTGGCGGCGCTCCCGCTGAGGGTTTGGATCCCACATACAGACCGGTTCCCGCTCACTGGCTGAGAGAGGTGCGGGTGCCACACTGAGGGTTGCAATCCCGTTGCCGGTCCTGGTCCAGTACGGGCGCGACACTGAGGGTTGCGATCCGTTGCCGGACACGAAAAAAGACAAAAAGGAAAAAAAAAAAAAGAATACCCGAGACTGGGTAATTTGTAAGGAAAAGAGGTTTATTTGGCTTACGATTCTGGTACAGCTGCATCTGGCATGGGCCTCAGGCTGCTTCTACTCATGGTGGAAAGTGGCAGGCAGCCGGCGGGTACAAGCAGATCACATGGCGAGAGGAAGCAAGAGAGAGAGAGAAGGCGCCAGGGTCTTTTTAAGCAACGAGCTCTCACGGGAACTAATAGAGCGAGAACTCACTCATTAATACCCCCTCCCCCAGGGAGACCATTAATCCATTCATGAGGGATCTGCCCCCATGACTCAATCAGTTTCCAACACTGCCACGTTGGAGATCAAATTTCCACATGAGTTTTGGAGGAGACAACACATCCAAACTCCATCACTCTCCATAGTCAATGCTCTTTTCAGTTTATCAATATAAAACAGCTAAATGAAATGGCTTATTTCCAGCCCTATATACAACATTTAAAATTTTGTTTCCCCTCTTCCATGTCACTTGGTACCTTAGCAGATGCTTCTAGCATAGAGAGTATATCTGATCTGTCCGTGACAGATGAATGTGAGCCCACCCTGGTGCAAGGGCCGAGATTCTGAGGTAGAAGATGGAATTTTGAGTTGAGACTGCTTGCTGTTTGCTGCTGTTTTATTTACTGTGACCTTGTGCGTGAGACTTACCTTCTCTGAATCAAATTTCACAGTTGTCATCATGACTGAATACTTTGTTCTTGAAAAAAATTGTGTACTCTACAAATGGTGAAGCATATTAGACTAGAAGTTTGGCAATGTATTTTTTTTTTTTTTAATGAATGGAATTAGAAACTGATTTCCAAAATACTGATTCAGTAATTCAAGTCTAGGTGCCTAACTTCCTCCAACAGTTGAAATTCCCAAAGGCTTCAGGAAGGATACTCTGTAGGTTGTCTTGATTTAGTATGAATAAACAATAAAATGATTTTAGGGCTAGCCCATGGCTTGCTTGGTAGAGCATGGTGCTGACAACACAAAGGTCAAAGGTTAAGATCCCCTTACTGGTCATCTTTTAAAAAAAAAATTTTAAAAATTAAAAAATTTAAAAAATAAAATTCTAAATCTGAACTAGTTTCATCAATTGAATTTTCTAAGTGGAGTTTTTATTTCTCATTGCTAAACTGCTATTTCCAAGTTCTAGTTCTCCACTAATTAGTATATGAACACTGAATTGATGAGCTTTGATAATGTGTTTTACAGATACCAGTGATCCAGTTCCAGAATGAAGGGCTGGGGCTTTGCTCACCTTTTGCGTGAAGAAAGGACCTGCCCCTCAGGGCCAGTTTGTGCACAATGGGAGGACCCTTGTGCCATGGATGAATGCAGTGGACCATACTTTAGAAGCATACCCATACCTTCCTTTTACAGGTATAGAGTAAACGGTCTGGCTACTGAGGGAAAGAGACATGGCTTGAACCCAAGTCTTTTACTAGATAATGACTTCATGAAGGTAAAAAATAAATTTTATAATATTAAAAATCTAGCTAAAGTAAAAATGTCATCTTTATTTTAGAAAGTTCTGGGTTTAAGTGATTTTTACCGAGACATATATTTTCTTCCTTTTTTGAAGTTGATCCCCATTGTGAAAAACATACACCTCAGTGGCCGAGGAAATGCACCATCCAGATTCCCCAAGGAAATGCTTGTAACCTCAGCGCTAGGAATGTTGGCAGTGAGCAGTCTTCAGTTGTCAGCTCCTGCGTGCATTGTCTCAGCTACAACAGTGGCCTTGCTCAAAGCCACACCTTCTGAAGGGGCCCATAGCCAATGACTGATCTAAGTGGCCACTTTGGCATGATACTGGGGTATTTGTGCAACTCTGATGGGCCTTGTTTTAGTTCCCTGGGGTTTACTGACGCTGTCTTTGGACTGGCGTTGCAGCTCAGCTTCTCCTTCTGCTCAATCCCATTTCCTTAAACATCCTATGTACTGAAGTCCATCCCATTCTTCCTGGAGAATCAAATCTGTGAGACACACACACACACACACACACACACCCACACCCAAAATTAAAAGCAATATTAGATTATTCCTTAATAGAGCTGTTTTTTAATTAAAAAAAGAAAAAGCCCAAGATAGATCAGTTTAAACTTGTTTGGTAATTAGGCCAGTTGAACAGTTTCTGTGCAAGATATGTATGACAGAGCTGCTTGCTTTTACCAAAAACTGAGGGAATATACATTTTCTGCTTCGTGCTGGAAACAGTGGAAATTTAGAAATATGTAATTGTAGGATTCTGAGGAGCAAAACTGATGTCACTAGTTCAACGCAATCTGATGGCTTTGACTTCTAGGAGTATGACACAATATTTATTAAAAATGGTAATTCATAGTGGCCAAAAAACTGGAAACAAACTTCACAACTAACCTAACACTGTATCATGAAAGGATATATCTTAATTATAGCATGCTTTTCTGTGACTGAGCTGCCATTCTCTTATAATGGGAAAAGAAGCATGGCAGATTTTTAAGATGTACATTCAAGCAGGGAAGCTGGAAACGTTAAAGTGATAATTGCAAACTAACCTTAGAAAAATATTTAAGATAGGAGGGAAAAAGCCAACAATAAACAAAAGCCCACAATAGGGTGTAGTACTAGAATATAGGGAAAATTATGAAGTCTGTAGTAAAACTTCATAGTACATAAATTAGGTTTCACAGAATTTTCTAATACATAATCTTTGGATATGCAACTGAACAGGACATCTCTCTCCCTAGCCGACAGTAAAAAAAATTAGACTACCATTTTGGATGGCTGTTAAGACTTGTGAAATTAGGGAAATTGTTTCTCCCATGAGCAAGAGCACATTTCAAAAGAAATTTAACGATAGCTCAACGAGGGTCGTCACTCAGTGCCTACGATTATCTCTGTGGTAGGATTATGGGTAATATTTTTAAAAGATAACCTTTTAACTTTGGAGTTAAGGTTATATTTACAGAAAAACCAGTTAGAGTTCTCGTACACCCAGCACCATTTCTGTGAATGTTGTCTTCTTAAAATTATCATGACGTACATATATCAAAATTAAGAAACCAATACTGGTCCTGGTGCATTACTTCCAATTACAGACCGTATTTGGATTTCACCAGTTTTTCCATTTAAAGTCCTCTTTCTGTTCTAGGATCCAATCCAGGATACCACATTGCATTTAGTTGTCATGCATCCTATCTCCTCCTATCTGTGGCTACTTGTCTTCCCTTGTTTTTCATGACCTTGAAACTTTTGAAGAATACTAGAACACATTCTAGGTTTGTCTGTTTTTCTCATTAGGTTGAATATGTTATGGGTTTTTGAAAAGAATATCACAGGTGCAGTACCCCTCTCATCACATCCTATCCGGCATACAGGACATCACCGGTGATAAGAACCTCAATCACTTGGTTAAGGTAATGTTTGCCAGGATTCTCCACTGTAAAGTTAATATTTTTTTTCCTTTCCATACACTATTCTTTAGAAAGGAGTCACTAAGTCTAGCCCACACTGAAAAAGGAGAGGAAGATTAAGCTCTAGAAGGTGAGTTATCTACACATATTTAGAATTCGTCTATAAGGGCCGGCCCCGTGGCGCACTCGGGAGGGTGCAGCGCTGGGAGCGCAGCGTCGCTCCCGCTGCGGGTTCGGATCCTATATAGGAATGGCCGGTGCGCTCACTGGCTGAGCGTGGTGTGGGCAACACCACACCAAGGGTTGCGATCCCCTTACCGGTCACGAAAAAGACAAAAAAAAAAGAATTCGTCTATAAGATAGACAAATGATTAAAAAAACAAGACAAATGATTAAAAAAAAAAAATTAAGAAAATAAAAAAATCAGCCAAGTATCAGGTAGTTCTAGGCAATCCATTATGAAAACACAGGCAAGACAACAGGTATTTGGGATCTTTTTTATTTTTATACACATGACAAGATTTTACACCAAGAATAGTCAGTTAAATAGTACAAATTTACATTCATGAGGAATGTTAAAAAAAATTCAACTAAAAAACCCACTTCTTCCTGTGACCCACAATCTCAACATTTTACAGTGCAGGGGGAGATGGGGGCTGGGGGGAGCATCCAAAACAAGTCTCTCCCAAAAGAAATGACTTAAATTTCACATTCCCTCTCCACACAGGATCCAAATGGTGAGAGTATAATTTACAATTCATCTTTTTCAGCTGTAGATTTCTGTGGAAACAGGAAAATCAAATGATATTAAAATCTAGCAGAGAAATATACTAGCTTAAAGAAAGTTCATTTACAGAAAAAACAATTTAAATGGGCCCAGCCTATTTCCAGTATTTCTGCTGTAGTCATGATCTTGTTTATGTTCAAAACAATCTAGAACTCACAAGATCAATGGCCCTTGAACACAATTTAAAATAGCCTAATATTGTTACACAGTAAGGCAGAAGCAAGTAGCTACAAATATTGTGGGCTAAGGAAAAATCTGTTAAACAACAAGAATGGTTGGCTAAAATAAAGGAAGAAGATCACATACTTTTTAAAGGACAAAATGATTTGCTTAAACTTTGGAATTTGATATTAGAATCTTAACTTTAGGCAGATTTCTCTAAGACTCACAGTTTCACTTCTGTAAGTTATACATCTTAACTTTGCCATAACCAAAACTCCACTCGATTTCATAAGAACTAAAAAAGCAAGCTTTTTTTTTTTTGGTGGCTGGCTGGTTTGGGGATCTGAACCTGTGACCTTGGTATTACAAGGCTGCGCTCCAACCAACTGAGCTTAACCAGCCAGACCTAAGCCCTGTTCTTTTAAAAATATTTTTAAAAAGGTGACCGGTAAGGGGATCTTAGCCCTTGACTTGGTGTTGTCAGCACCACGCTCTCCGGAGTGAGCCATAGGCCGGCTCTAAGCCCCATTCTTGATTGGATATACCTTTGCTGTGTCTTGTTCATCTTCATCCATTCCTACATCCATTTCTTCTTCTTCGTCTTGCTCTGTGTCTTCTGTTGTGTCATCTGTTGTTTCTTCAGGTTCTTCTTCGGGTTCTTCTTCCACCTAAGGGCAATATTTATGAGCCTGTTAATGCCTTGGATCTATTTTTCCCTTTGCTCATTTAAATGTGTAATATCGTAATTAACATCACTTCTGTTCTTTCAGAACCAGAGTAAATCCTCTAATTAGAGTTAATGGTCAAGCTAACGCAGGCAAAAAAGGAAAGAGGAATAAAAGGAGAATTTCTCATTAATTTCTAGCGCAGTACCTGACACTACAGGGATTCAAACATTCAATAAATTATTTCAAAAAGTAGAAATTAGGCAAACTTCTAAGAGTCACATTGTTTAATTATGAGAAGCCTATTCTGAAAGAAAGAAAAAGAAAGCCAGACTAGGTGAGAAGGCTGGAGATACAAACCTTTGCATCAGGGTCAATGTTTAAACTGAGGCGAAGCATTCTTTCTATTCTATCTCCATATGCTTTAGTGTCTGGTAAAAGATACCCCGATCGAAGTGTTGCTGTTTCAAACAGAACCACAGCAAGATCCAAAACTGTTTTGTCATCTTCATCTTCCTGAGATGAAAGAAGTGTACTTGATTAATATTAAAAGATACAAAGTTTCAAATTAAAAAACAAGTAAGATGATGGCTGTAATATTATTCACCTTAATTCGTCGAAGCATGTCTCTGATCAGTGGATGTCTGGGATTAATTTCAAATGTTTTTTTCTGACTGGCATAATAACTATTAAGGAATAAAAATGAGCATTAACAGAATGTATTAATTTTAGGGTTCATATATTTCCCTTATTCTAACTTTCATAATTACAGAGAATATGCTTGGAAAAATCAAGATGTTCTTACATTTGCTCCCTTTTAAAGGGGGTTGGGCATGGTTGGATGAGAAAATGAAATAAAGCAAACTATTTACTGATTAGCTCCAACTACCTAGAGCACAGTTGAGTGGATGAACTGATTTAATGTCTTGTTTGTCTTTAGTTGTAGCTCTGTCTCCCAGAGTTCTGAAAAGTCTCTGCAGCCTGAGTACTGCTCCTCAAATAACACCTTCTCTTTGATGCCTTCGCCAATATGGTCCCAAGAAAAATTAAGTTCTTTTAATTAAATTAATTAAAATTAACTTCTTTTATCTGAGCTCAATTCTCAATGCATTCTGAATATACTCTCATAATCTTTAGCCTTTTACTGTTGGTTGTGACTATTCCCCTCCTATAGCTTCAAACTGACAGGGAGGAACCACATCTATCCCTATCCTCATATACCTGTTATCTCTGTAGGGTTTAGATTATGTCTCCCTGTCATCCTGACTAGTTTGATTGTCACAAAGACAGGAGCTTTTTGTGCCCTTGAGCATTAGGGTATGGACACAGTAAGAGCTCAAATGTCTAACGAAAGGTAACTACCTGTTAATTATTCATTTAAATTGATATGTAGACATGTTTTGAATGGTTACTCCACTGTTACAATGGGATATAAGATAAAGAGAACACTGTTCTCAGATTCCTTAAGCAAGGCTTTAGGAAAAAA